CCATTCTCCATTGATGGGAAGGGGGGGGGGGGTGCAGAACTTGGCCTTGGGGCGGCAGGGAGAGTAAATCCGGCCCTGGGGAAGGGGGGAGGAGTCCAGTGACTTCGATGTCCGTGACGTCACCGGATCTCTGAACGGAAGTCCCGGAAGCCGGCGGAGAGGTGAGTACCGATCAAAAAAATTAACAATTAATCGAGGAATTAATAGTTAATTTCCGCAGCCCTAATATATATATAATTTGTAATCAATAACACATGACAAAATGTATCTTTTTAAATACAAACAGTTTAAGTACCTGAATGTGACCTGGTATCGGACTCCTGCGGTACTTGCACAGCAGAGTTGGATTGTGAAAGAAAGAGGCAGCACCAAGGGCCAATCACTTCATCTGCTGATAAGTATCCTGAAAGATGGAGAGAGCAGAGTGACGTGAAGATAAGCTCATCACTGTGCTGCTTCTTCTTTCACTGTCCAGTCACAGGCTCGGGGCGGATCCAGGATGACCTGAGTTTAGAGGAAGTGGTGTGAATGAGGTTATCAGACCGAGGGCATCTAGTGGCAGAAGAAAAGTAGTTCAGGGAACTCTCTGGATTGAAAGTGAACTTTGCAGCAAAAGTTCATTTTTCTATTTTATCTTTTAATAGGTTATTCCTTTTTTTTAATCTGGTTTTTTGGGGGGCGTTCTACTTTAAAATTAAAGTCACTTACATTGGCTGAGTAGGAAAAACCAATGACAGTGGATTGATACATTGTCACTGCACCTCTCTGGGGTCATACAAGTCTGAATATGGATTCTGATGGCTTTAGAGTGCGGACTATGTAGGGGAGTCATTGATTAGATGAAAGTGTAATACTGCTGGAGGTGTGCGGACTTTGTGTCCTTTCTTGGCTATGTGCGGTCAGTCACTGGAGCTGATATACTGAAATATATGGGGGGAGGGGGAGATCGGGGTGTTTGCTTATTGTCTTCATGTCTGTGGCTGCTAAAACAAGTGGTCACTGGCCGTTCTTCACAACAGGGCAAGTACCAGCGTGCCCACCTGGTGGACTTGGTCAGCCCCGGATTCTTCAACAGTGAAATCTCCTGGACCATATTCCTGCAAGGATGGTGGGGACTCATAATGGGCACAGCAGGTGTACAGACCCGGGAACTCGGCACAGGGATGGTGGGAGCTCCTCATAATGGGCACAGCGGGTGTACAGACCCGGGAACTCAGCACAGGGATGGTGGAGCTCCTCATAATGGGCACAGCGGGTGTACAGACCCGGGAACTCAGCACAGGGATGGTGGAGCTCCTCATAATGGGCACAGCGGGTGTACAGACCCGGGAACTCAGCACAGGGATGGTGGAGCTCCTCATAATGGGCACAGCGGGTGTACAGACCCGGGAACTCAGCACAGGGATGGTGGAGCTCCTCATAATGGGCACAGCGGGTGTACAGACCCGGGAACTCAGCACAGGGATGGTGGAGCTCCTCATAATGGGCACAGCGGGTGTACAGACCCGGGAACTCAGCACAGGGATGGTGGAGCTCCTCATAATGGGCACAGCGGGTGTACAGACCCGGGAACTCAGCACAGGGATGGTGGAGCTCCTCATAATGGGCACAGCGGGTGTACAGACCCGGGAACTCAGCACAGGGATGGTGGAGCTCCTCATAATGGGCACAGCGGGTGTACAGACCCGGGAACTCAGCACAGGGATGGTGGTAGCTCCTCATAATGAGCACAGCAGGTGTACAGACCCGGGAACTCAGCACAGTGATGGTGCGAGACCCTCATAATGGGCACAGCGGGTTTACAGACCCGGGAACTCGGCACAGGGATGGTGGAGCTCCTCATAATGGGCACAGCGAGGGGACAGACCCGAGAACTCAGCACAGGGATGGGGGGAGCCCCTCATAATGAGCACAGCGGGTGTACAGACCCGGGAACTCGGCACAGGGATGGTGGAGCTCCTCATAATGGGCACAGCGGGTGTACAGACCCGGGAACTCAGCACAGGGATGGTGGGAGCCCCTTATAATGGACACAGCGGGTTTACAGACCCGGGAACTCGGCACAGGGATGGTGGAGCTCCTCATAATGGGCACAGCGTGTGTACAGACCCGAGAACTCAGCACAGGGATCTCACCAATGCTTGCTGAGAAGTCTGGTGTGAGACATCGGGGCAATTGCTGTTCTTTTTCCCCATCATGTATTAACTAACAGGTTTTATGGACACTGCAGTCTTTAAATGCCAGTACATGCTGAGACTTGTGGTTCTCCAGTCACATCACTGGCCCGCCTCGGTCACCCAGCAATGTACAGCCTGTCTCCCTGTTTGCTAACTGGCCGCTAATTTCTCCCTAATGTGCTTGTTTTCTGACCATTTGTCATACAATAGAGACTAATTAAGCGTCACAAACAAGCATCCCCTGCAGAGGGACCCCCACAGAGATGGAGAGAGACACTATTAATAGGGCACTGCGGACCGCTATCCGCGCTGTCACTGTGGACAAGCTGACTGTCCCTCCACTCACCGGCAGAGGACAGCTGTAATGGCTTCTAACTATATAATGTATATAACACTCTATAAGGGTCAACTACAACGAGATATAAACCCGATCACTAAAATCTCTGAGAAGATTTAATATGTTTGTCGTTTGTAATCTGGTGCATCAATTGTAATTATTTCTGGTGATCCCGCCAAGGTCATTGTTCATGTACTTCCTGTTATAGGGTGACCACCCTCTGTCCCTGTCTGCCTACAATGGGTATGTGAGCTTCAGAACTGGACCACAGAGCAATGGAAGAAGGTGGCCCGGTCTAATGAATCACATATTCTTTTACATCATGTGTACAGGACTTGTTGGATCTGATACTGACGGCTTGGTGTCGGATGCCACAGCACACCTTCAGAGGTCTAGTGGTGTCCATCCCGGGACGGGTCAGGAGAAGGGGGACCTACTCAATATTAGGGGGGTCATCCAGAAACCACATAAAACCTTCAGAGGTCTAGTGTCCTCATACACACGAATGTTAAACGCGGACGAATGTTTGAGTTTATTTCAGAGGGTGAAATGCTTCACACTGAGGACAATAATAGTGATCGGGATGCTTCCTTGCAATGCCACCTCATGTCCATGACGGTGGTCGGCAGACTCGGTGGCCTCCGCTGGACATAAGGACATCAGGCGAGCAGTCCCAGATTATTGGGGCTTTGTCCCTAGAGGATTGAGGAATATGAGATTTGGGTTCTCGGTGACAGCGCTGTAAGGGGCAAGATTGAGGTCACCGGTTGAACAACAAAGTTTCCCTGGAAATGAGAACATTGGCAAGTATGTGGACGGACATTTCACTGTACACAACCCGCCACTTACCACAAAATATGCTATTCCAAAATTAATGGGAGCCACTAACGGAGAGAAGGGAAGGAGCTGGGAGGAAGAGGGGGAGGTAAAGGGGGCAAAGACTAGGAGGGTAAAGGGGGCAGAGAAAAGGGAAGGGACAGGGAGGGAAGGGGGCAAGAGACAAGGGAAGGGACACGG